TGTCCATGTAGTGCATTGGGATATACGTCCTTTTGAAGAAAAAGTAGTGCAGATTTGTGCTGGCCTGACATTATATTTTCGATCGAGTTTTGATGAAACAAGGAAGAATGTGTTTCGGGTCGCGGATTGTGACCAATCACAGCGCACCACTAGCCCCCACTTTCGTGAGAAATCTCCAGGTCCGTTAGCATAGACAGCTGAGTTAGCACAACAAGCGGCGGAGCTAACCTGAAACTTTCTCGTCTTCGTCACCGGTTACTGCTTACACAGCGAAACAGCCATCCAAAAGAAAGTCTCATTCCTCCGCGCTTCCCGGTTCTATCGTTCTATGGTCACGGCATCCACGTGAAAATCCATATCCATGTATTATCCATATTGGGAGAGGCTAGCTCCGTCCCAACAGTGGGTGTGTGTGGGGGGCGATAGCTTCGTGGGTGCGGGGAGGGGAGCAGAAAGAGCGAAACCAGCGAGTCCGTGGCTTCAAAATCCCAAAGTCAGTTAGTGCAGCTTTAACTTTGATAATAATAATATGCTTTTCTAGTAAATTCCCACTTGCTGACTGAAGGACGGTGAGTGTCCACTGACTTCACTGTGTGTATGTTCCACGGACTACAATCCCCTGTGGTCCGGTTTAGCTCAAAGCCGCACAGGTTCATTGGGATCATGGCGAGAAGAGCACCGCACCTGCACTCCCTGCTCACAGTGCTCTGAGGTCAGTGGAACATATCTCATTGTTTTGCAGTACATTCTAAATCCACCTGCACCAAAATGAGGGGTCCACTGGGATCTGGCCTAGACTGAGACCAGAGCAGGGAGCCACAGGGTAGATCCGGGCTTGAGACCAGACCTGACGCTAGAGACAGGACTATAGCCATTTTGTGGGGTCGCAATGATGATAGATCAAAAAACGTCTCCAGCGTGAGAGCTCTTGCCTCTTGCTACTCTTTCCAACTCCAGGACAAAAGATCAACAAAACAGACATTTCTACGGGAACACAAAACACGGTTGAAAATTCTATAAGAAAAGAACATGTAGACCTTTGCCAACTTCTGAAACCATTGTTTGTAATTGATTGTGCCCTATTTGAGCTACGTTGCTAACTGACTAACTAACTAACAGACAAACAAACAAACCCAGATGGAAACATAACACCCTGGCAGAGGTATTAATGCAGAGTTGTGTCTAAATATGTAAAAGGGATTTGCCATTGACACTTACACTGTGAATAATGCATTTGGCAAATGTGCTGCTAATCTTAATGACATTTGGTTCTGGTGACATACTCAAGAGCATCTGTGCATCTCTAGCATCCTGCTCTCATCTTTAGCGAAGACAAGATAATTGTTTTTTCAACACCAACCGTCTCCATGGTACCAAATTTCTCCCTCCGTCTCCCTTTCTCTCTCTCTCTCTCCCATCCCCCACTGCATCCTCCCGTCAGTCCTTATGGTCCATCAAATCCGCCCTATAGAGCACATTAGTGTTACCATATTTACAATGAATGGGAGATGTAGAAGTCATGACAAACCAGCTGCCACTCAAACTCTGCCCAATATGTCACTGAGCCAAATGGAAAAAAGTGTCATTTACTGTTGGTTACGGAGGTGTAATCAATGATATACCTGACCCGATGTGAGGGAGGAAAATGAGTTTACCATGTCTTATTACAACAATAATAGCTAGGAAGGTGTCCTATAATGTGATTGAGTGGGAGAGTGGTGGAGGTGTCCTCGCCGGTGTCTCAATAAATTACAATAAATTATATTCAACAACATATGAGTGACATTAAACAAGGGATATTGATATAGAAGGCGGAAAGAAGTGTGTGTGTGTGTGTGTATGTGTGTGTATTTTTTATGAAACTACTGAGAGAAAGGAGAAAGAAGCCATTTCAGTTGCTGTATTACTTGAACTAGTCTATTTGCAGAACTAGACTTAATACAGTAGGATATTTGCTCCTTCAGAATGCAGCTCAAATGTCAAAGCTCGCCAAGGTTCTGCAACTAACTTTATTTTTATTTTTTTACTTTCAGTATCAACACATATAGCATTATCTTCCCTTTTTTTTAAATAAAATTCTCCCAAACTCAAAGTACAGTCGTCACATGTGTTGTTTTTTATTCTTTCTTTTAAACCAATTTACAGCCTATAGGGCATGAAAAAGTATCATGTGCATTGAGGCAACAGAAGCACCACAGATCTGTACAGGACGCAGATCTGTACATCGAAATATCAAGTTGCCACAGATTTATTGAGCTCAATATGATGAGTGTGATGAACGACACAAGATATACAGTCTAAGGCTGCAGCACTATGGGACAAATACATATCCAATTACTCTTTTTTTGTAGGTTTTTCTTCCTGTTTCACCCTGCGCCAGGGGTTGGCAGCGACAGGATGTGCCCCACTGACATCACTGGACTCAGAGGCACTGCTCCCGCAGGGCTCTAGACCCCTCAGAACCTCAGACCCTCAGACCACAGTGTCCACAGACTGTAAACAGCTCTAAGGTCACAGCACTTCCCACAGAGATGAAAATATACTCCAGGATCAGAAACAAACGGACAGGGTCAAACTAACGCTCTCACAACACTCCAGCCATGTCAAACTGGTGCAAGTATGTGAGACAGTGAAATAAGCACAGATAAGTACGACTTAGACGAGAAGCAACTTTAGTTATGAACCCTACAGAAGACAACGTCAGTAAATCTGGAAACATTTAGGCAAAAGATGTGCTAGACTGATGACATTAATTAAATTAGGTTTGAGTATATTGGTTACTGCATGATTAAACCTGACAGATGTATACTAAGGTAATTTATTTATTGACATGCAGTACACAATGACCCCAGGGATCTAAAGGAGGAGTGAAGAGGAGATTAGATGAAGAGTGATTTACCACTATCGAGATGGGAGGAGGTGGGTCACTGCGCAAGCTGAAAGCGTTGAGAGATGTTAAGAGCTGGGTAGATCCAGCATGTGACGCAGATAGTGACAAGCAGAGGTGCAGGTGTGGAAGTGAAGATGACACAGGAGATCTCCCTGTCTGAACATTTGCTACCGCTCCAATTATCTTACTTAACTCCCTACCTTGCTATTATTTTATAAATGCATCTTTAAATACAGTAAATGTTGCTGTTTGAAGTACAGAGAACAAATCCAAAACACACACACACAAAATACAATCCCATTACACTTCAAATACAACATACTCCATCATTCAAACAAATAATGTTATACCTACAAAGTTTGGAAGAACACCCAAAACCTGCGGACTGGAACGAGCCAAAATCCCGCTCTATCCAATTCAGTTTGCCAAAGTCTGACTTAAACCTATCCCTTGCGACGTTTCTTAATGAACACTTCAGAACAGTAACACACAATTGAAAACCCCCCCTCATCAGCCGAACACCGAGACATCACTGGCTCTAGTCAACCATCTGTAAAACACAAACGTCTTCCAAAACAGCTGCTGCTCTCCGTCCGTCTGCCGCAGAAGCAAAACCAACCAAGCCAGCAGCGCCTTTCTCCATAAGGACGCACAAAAAACAGGCATCTGGTGTCAACAAAAACCCAACGCAGTCTCCTCTGTGAAGTCCACCAGTCAGCAATTCTCTTTGTGTCCCTCAGCACGAGCGGCCACACCTGTCCACTGTGATTTGGGAGCTCAGAGACGCACAGAACCCCAGCAAAAATGACAGACATAAATAAATTAATATATATACACCTTTTTTTCAAGAAGCGGAGGGACATAACAGGGCGAGACTGTATGTGAGGAAAATCAGGACACTTTTCAGAATAACTCAAGATTAGATTTGAAAGGAGAAATTTGGGCTCAAGTGTCCCATATTTTTCCATGTCAGTGTAAAAAAAAATATAACATAAACAGGAATTTGCTTTGGTTAGAAAGATATATATATAAATCTTCATTGACGTGGATAAAATTTGGAAAATTGGTCATATTGGAAGTAAAACATGGATATTATATATGTTGTTTGGCTCCCAAACTTTTCAGGCTGTGACCTTCAACTGGCAATCCCTCAAATAAAAAAAACTGTTGTAATACTTTGAACCCTTGCCCGTGCTACATTAAATTTAATACGGTTTTTTTGAGGATTGTGTTGTGCTATTTGATCTCACTTAAAATATATTTGAATAGTAATTGACAAAATATTATCATTTTTACTCATGGCCCCAAGCTAGTGTCCTACTTTGGGATACACTGGTCTAAAGTACATCAATTAGAGCAGAAATATTCATATAGTTAATTACTTGTGTTGTAACTGAACCTGAATATTATTATCAAAATAATGCAGACAGAACCAGCTCTAAACTACAGGGACTATAAAAATACACCCATCAACTTATTGCTGTCTGTTATGGACTGCTGCTCGACCACTCCCCTCTTGTCTAAAGTTATTTGGGAACTCTGCAGCACAGAAACTGAAGCTAAAATGACAAAAAAGCTACAGGGATGTCTGAACGTGTTAGTGCAGGAGCCAGGGACCAAAGCTGGTGTCTGCTTTGGGAAAGGTGGGAGACAGAGAGAGGTGTGGGAGGAGGAGGTGACTTATGATGAGACCAGTGCAGTAGAGGACAATAAAGGTGAGTGCAAAACCTCAGAGGAGCACTTCAGCTGCTCCTTTGTTCAAAGGAGAGTGTAGTGTCTGTCTAGATATGGTGCTTTGTGGCATTCAAAATAATACTACATATGATTAGGAATAACTAAAGCATAAAAACAGCGAGGTTCTGGCTAAATTTAACTATAAACCAGGCACAGTACTGTGAGTGGTTCAAATATTTGTGTTGTGTATGTTGTAAAAGCAGAATGTTGCATCAAAATCATATTATATTGTGACCTATTCATCCATTAATACTATTTTCTAGCCCTTTCACAATCTCATGCTGGAATTGATATAAATATGATAAAAAATAATTACCACCAAATGCTTCTTGTATTTAGACTATCTTGCCCAAAAATGCAGAAATTCCACTCCTACCTTTGCAGTCTGTCTTCCAGCAGCTCCATGTATTTTGTGGCATTATCCTTCAATCTGATTTCTGTAAAAACAAAAAACAATGTATCATTTTCCTGTAGGTTGCATTGTATTTTTCAGCTCATACAGACCAGGAGGAAATTGAGGTTACTTCTAGACAATACATTTAGTCTGACCATAACCATATGCTGTTTTTTAATTCTTTTTTTACATTAATGACTGAACCATATTCTTATACATTGTTCTCATATCAACCAGTTCTATTTCATCCCTCCTGACCGCCAGACGGCAGTCATCCAGGAGTCATAGAACCTTGGTTACCTACGTAACCTTCGTTTGAATCAATACTTTATAAACAGGGTTGAGGTAAACTTTTATCAAGAGTGGTGGTCAATGTAAATGTCAGCTTTATTTGTATAGCACATTTACACCACAGCAGCTGCCCAAAGTGCTTGACATGCACAGAAATAAAAAAGTAAAAAGGAAACAGCATGACATACACACAAATGTACGTTGTCAGGGTGTGTGCGTGCGTGTGTGTGTGTTCTCCCCCCATGCATCTCTGTCCTGAAGCTGGGCGGAGTGTCTGCAGCCCTGGTCCTGCCTCTTCACACCTGCAGCCCATCATCCTCTTCACCTCTACAGTTTAAAAACCCAGTTCACCCTCCACCATGTAGATCGTCGGTAAATCCTTGACAGTACTACTCCTTGGCTTTTGGTTTTTCTTTGTTGCTTCAGATTAGTCTTTTGGTCCAGACACAGTATACCTCCTGTTTTTGCCTCAAGCCTCCAGCATAGTCCATCTTCCTTTTTTAGTTTTTTAAACTTTGTTTTCTCTTTTCCATATGTCTGCAACTTTGATTTGCCAGTCTTTACAACAGCTGTTGTGGTCTGGTTTGATCAGGACTAACAGAGCTGGAGAATTTTACTTATGTTGCTTTTTTTTTTTTTAAACAGTCAAGGGCTGTTCTTTTCTGTCTACTCTGTTCTGACCGAGATTCAAACCCAGGACCTTTTTACTGAGAAGCCAGAGTGCTAACCACATAAATGGGATAGTATGTTTGCCTTAGAATGGCTTCCAAATCACAGGGTTACATCCTAACCCAAAGCAGAAATCAGACGGTTCTTCCAGTGCTAGTAAGTTTCAGTTATGTGAATACATTAAGACGAAATACAGCAGGTAGAGTGTGGATAAGGGTTTCTTATAAGTGGAATCGTGATCTATAGCAGCACTTAACATTTTCCATTAGGACTTTTCCTCTATAAATTGGAGATAAACCTTTTTAAACGATGTGTATCCTAGCAACACATCACAGCGATGTTTAATTCTGACAGTTTTAAGTGCATTAATCACAGGCAATTGGGAGAGGTAGGAGTCGACACAGCTTGAAATAAAAATTTGCAGGGATATCATTATAAAATGTAAACCACAGGAGGTGATTTCACTCGAGAAAAAATATATTTGAGCATCAACCAGCATGAGAAAATGAAGGGATCATATACTCGCCCTTGTGTCTAAATCAGGATCAATATCGAGTGAAGAAAGAAATTTAGGATTCAAATATTATAAAGCATTACTATGGCACATTCACACTATGTCAAAACTGAGCTAAAAGAGAAACTAGATTAAGAAATACTTGAATAACAATCGAAAGGATAAGAAGCAGTTTTGTGCACAATAGGACAGAGGAGCTTGGAATAGAGCTGGAGGAAGTGTCTGGAGGTGAGGGAAGTCCGGGAAAACACACACATTACTGCCCCCACAAATAATATCCAGATTGAGCAGTAAAAATGGATGGACGAATAAGCACAAACTAGTACTGTACTAAAACAAGATTACATTATGGTTTGTAAATGCATCAAAACAAGATCATTAGCAATATACCCCAGGACAAAAGACAAGGTCAAGCCTTTTTTACAATTAAGAAAATAGGATAGGTTTATCTGGCAATTTAATCCAGCCTCCGGATACAAGTGGGATTTTATTGTGCCGCTGGTCTGTAAATCTTGCCAAATTTGCCAAAGGGCATTCAGTCGGTCCATTAATTACAAGACAAGGACTAAACCCATTCTACAGGAAAGAAAATTCTACTAAAATCTACTAAAAGCAATGACTTGAGATTTAATATTCAATCCAGGACTAAACATGACAAAAGTGTTCAAATAATGACTATAATAATTACAACTATTCAAGCCTTCAAAGTGGAGAATTCCAATATAAACCAGGAACCAGCAGTGCATAACCAAAACTGTAATTTCTGACACGCAATCCCTGCTTTGAGAAATCCAATGAATAATCCTGCCTGAGGACACAAAAGGGTTTGATTATGGCGATGGTCTTTACGTTGTGCCAATTTTCCGTGGGGCATGCTACAGTTGGCCCGGCCGCTTATGTTGCATCCGGAACCCGTTTTGCCAGAAGAGACAGACCCAGGCTGTGAGCTCGTCTGGGCCACGGGGACGGCCATCTCCACACTGTTAATGAGCCTCATGAATGAAACATGAGAATATGCCCCCCGCGCCGCCCCGTCTTTGAACACAATGGTGCACACTTATATCAGATTGCATCACCCGTATCCAGTGCCGTTCAAAGCTAACTTTGGCTTTCCTCCTTCCTCCAGTTCGCACACACATTAATCACCAAGCGCTAACATCTGTAGCTCTGCACGGGCCTCAGCACTTTCCCACACGCGGGACTTCACCGAGGTCAGAGGACGAGCGCAGAGGGCGAGCACTGATTTATGGCGCTGGGAAATAATCAAAAGAATTAAGAATTAAAGCTGGGGTACCTAACTTTCAAACCACAATCATATTAACTCTGCAATAAAATCCATACATATAACTAATTCCTGGCTTTTTTTTAACAGTTTGATTCCATCTCTAGTTTTGTGTGTATGTATTTTGGCCTCTGTCACATCTTGTAACATCTGTAGCCAAACATGTTTTATTATTTATGAAAAAACTGCAAGAAAGGTACCCCAGATATTAGAAGTAAAATGGCATGAGCTTGAATTGTGTGCTGGTATACTGCTGCAAATGTGACAAATTGTGTATGCAGCTACAGCCTGGATTGGCTTCTGATTACAAGAGTAGAACACTATGGGTGATGTCATACTTATACCGTCCACTCCTTTTGGTTTCACAGCTTGATTGTATGTAAATAAAGGCTTAGCAGGATTGAAACAAAGTATATAATGGACTTAAAGGAAGTACACCCCATCTAAAATAAGTCATGTAATGTGTTGTGTATGCATGTTGTTGTGCCCTCAGCCTAAATACACTGACCACACTGGAAATTAAGTATTTTTCCGACGCAAAATTCTATCCACTTGTACCCCAAAAACTTTTTTTTTTTGATTCTGACTTTTTTTTTTTTCAACTTTGTTCAAAGTTTAAAAATCACCTGCCAGCATCCATCCAGCACAAACAAGTGCAGCAGTAGTTTAAAACACATGCCGTGCCTGTGTTCAGAGAAGCCCAGAGGTCGCGTGAATGTTTCCAAACGTGAGGAGCTGACAACAGGCACCAGTGTCACCTCACTTACACCTGTGCTCCAGTCTCAGACACAAGACCCCATCACGCTCACGCTGCTCAAAAGTACCCTGTAATATAGTTGGACAATGTGGAGCACAATGGGAATAAGATCATGTAGCTAAAGCCAACAAAATTGACTGATTATAGCTATGCATTGATCCATTACAGTAAGTCTCATAGCATTTAGAAATGTCCCAAAAGCAGATAATCTTAAAAGCAAAATCATCCTATGAACGACACACATAAGCTTTCCCATTCAGCATGCAAAACATTAGCAACTAGAAAAGCACTTGTAGAGAGCACAGACCTCTCCCATGTATTTTTGCCAACAAAAGGTATGCATAAGGTTAAAAAAAATGTGGTGAAAATATAGAGCTCCAGCATTCTTGGATCCAGCACTGTTTATTCTCAGTGTGCACTATGTTTGTAGAGAACTCTTGCTGCATAGTGAAGACAGAGGTGCGTGGAAGGAAAACATATCCAAAGGTTACTTCCAAATGGTGATTTACTTGTTCATTGTGCCATCATGGAGGTTTCCCGAGACTCCAACTCCATCTCCTCCCACAACTTTAAACATTATAGCAGGAACTAACAACCAAACGCAGGTGATCACATAACCTTTCTTGCCTTTAGGGGTGGGGCCAGCGAAACATGGAGCAGAAAATGTGAGACAAGCCTCTACTCTGGCAACATTAAAATCCCAGAAAATGTCTTATCTTGAATAGAGATTAAATATGTATGTATTTGTTATGTGTTTAGAAGACAATAATGAAAGAATGTCTTCATGGATGTCTTCAAAGCATACACATTGCTACTTTAGACCTTTAAAGGTTTGGTTTAGACCTGCAGTATAGTCCTGTTGTAAATGAATGAATGAATGATAGCGTTATTAGTCCCAATGAGGAGAAATTAGACGCATAAACATCTCGACATTTACAAATAGCAAAGAGGAGATACCTACATTTCACAGAGACAAGTACAGAGATATTGAGGTTACCGTAACTAAACCTATTATCCCCAAAAGTGAAGACAGTGACACAGTAGTTAAAGATAGCTCACTCACAGCTGTCTCAACGGAGGAAGAATGAAGGTGACGTTATTTATGGAAAGTGGATGTGTGTCACTACAAGAGAGAAATCCTTCGCGGGCGCCATTTCTGTTTCAAAGTCACTAAATCGGCTCAATGAAAGCATCTACAAGGCAGGAGAAGCTATCACAGATCTCGGAGGCTGATCCAAGAATCAGACCGTTCACTTACTACACCTCTAATTACTATGTGAGATCCTATCCTACCTGACAGATCCTCCTCCTGTCAACTTTTGTTCATGTTCCGCAGCCTGCCACAGAATAGCCATTGAATAATACATAGGGAGCATTAGGGCATGTGCAGATGTGAGATGACAAAGAAGAGACAGATTTTGGGAAATATTGAGTTGTGAAGGAGGAATCAGATATGCTCAGATTCAGATTCATTTTGTTTTCCATGTGCAAAAGTATCCCAGAGTGCGCCACAATTGAATAAGCTATATT